GCAGTTGGCCAGTCGGGGCATGGCCCTGTGTCCTTTGACCCTCTGAAGATTGAGGAAAAAACCTTTCCCACAGGCCTGTCCCTGCTTCCTCATCATTTGGAGGCTGAGGGATGCTGACACTTACCTGATGTTTTGACAACAGTCAGCAAGCCCCTTGTCCCAGGGGTGAGGACGTGCCAAGCTCCTGATGAGGAGGGGGATTTCCATGGAGTGGCCATCAGTTGTCTGACTATTTGACCACCTTTATCAGCCAGGGGCTGGGGAGAGGGTCAGGGCAGCAGGAAGGATGGACAAGGGGCTTGAACCCCAGAGGGAAATCCACTTCCCTAGGCCCAGGCCCGTCCCCACTCATACGCACCACAGGCTTGATGGATGCTTAGTTAGGATCTGAAAATAGATGTTCTGTCCCCAGGCAGGGCATGGTTCTACTCCATCTCCCTCAGGGAAGCAAACCAGGCAGGCAAGGGAAACAGACACGTAAGGGAAGCTGGGAAGGACCTGATTCACATTCCAAGATTTTGCAGGGAGAATTGGAAGATCAGCAGTTGCTAGGGTAGCATTTCACTTAAGATGATGTTTATGATGGGGGCCTTTACAATGCTGTCAAAACTTCACGTGTCTTAGGTGGAATCAGCACCAAAGACAACCTCAGAGAACTAACAATGAGCCTCAGCAAGAAAGAAAAATGCACAGTGTGTATCAGCCACAACCATTTCTTTTACCATAGTGCCTTTCTCAGTTTTTTCCTAGGCAAATTCCCGCTTGACCTTCAAAACCCAGGCCAGATGTCGTTTCTTGGGGTAAACCTCTCCGGGTACCTACCTGCAGAAATAATCATGTTCTCACAGTGTGTTGTGCCCCTCTCTGTTTTAGCACAAATTGCTCCTGATATGAGCGCTCCCTACATGTATCTATGAAGATCCGAAGGGCAGGGAAGGTGACGTTCACATTTGCCTCCACCCCAGAGTTGTGTACACCGCAGGTATCATGGCAATGGGCGAATGCATTCATTCTATCTACCATCCCGGGTCAGATGCAATTTGCAAGGGGGTGCTGAAGATGAGGGTCCCAAAGTTATTCCCACACTGTGCTCTGAGTGGGGACTCAAGTCTCGAGTCTCACCCAGACTATTGGCAAGAGAAATGATCGTTGGATAACGATTGGTGTCTCAGCCATTTGAAACTGATTTAAAAACAGGTGACTGAATGGCTACTTTTCTTTGAATTTAGACAAATAAGAGCATCAAAGAAGTTGGGAATCCCTTCTGGAATCCCCAAAGAGACAGGCCTCACTATTCCTTCTGGGAATTAATGGTCTTCTGAGTCAGGAAGTTCCTTCTCATGTCTAGCCTGTACCTGCCCTGCTTCACTTGCATTCTGCCCAGTCTTTGCAGTTGCCCAGGGGCTCCTCCATCCCCACCTGTCTCTTCCTGACTCAGGAGAGCAGGTAGTGGCTGCTTCCCTCTTTGTGTTATTAACAATGACAACCCCTCCCGCGGAAGCTTATAAAAGCAGTAAATGTGGGTCACAACAGGGAGGACAGAGCTGATTCCAGGAGCTCTAGGTAGCGTACTTTGAGCAGGTGGAGGTGAGGCTGAGTGCAGGAGGCAGGCTTTCAGGAGGGAAGGAAGAACACCATGTTTCTCACTAATTTGCTCAGCTTGGGGACCATCCCTGCAGCCTGTGCCCATGGAGGTGTCAAGCAGGTGAGGCGGGGTTGCTCCTCCAGAGCTGGGACTCGTATGTAACCAGGCGCCAGGTCCCTCCTGACAGCTCTATTTCCAAGAGGCATTTGGGAAACGGAATCTCAGGCAGCACAGCCAAGACGATCTCGCAGGTTGTGGCTTTGACTGCTTTTGGGTCAAATCCTATAGTGAAGCTCTGATGGTGAGCAGCGGTGAATGGAAGTCCCAGCTCTGCTGGTCTCTTTGTCAGACTCTCTAAGCTAATCCTGCCTGGCCGGTGTAACCTCAGAACTCAGGCTCCCCCTCTTTATCCAGCACCCTGGAGCCAGCCTTTTTCTCCTCTAGGGAAGTCACATTTTAGCAGAGGCTTTAAGGCACATTCTCAAGACCTCTCCTTTCCTATTGTCATGATGGCTAGAAAGGCCAGTGGTCCTTCTACCAACACCCCTGTTTTTGTTTTTGTTTTTGACTCAGGGTCTCTGTTGAACAGGCTGGAGTGCGGTGGCACAATCATGGTTCACCACAGCGTGGACCTGCTGGTCTCAGGTGATCCTTTCACCTTAGCCTCCTGAGTAGCTGGAACTACAGGCATGCACTGCCATGCCTGGATGATTGATTGATTGATTCATTCATTCATTCATTTATGTATTTATTTTAGTTGTGGTCTCACTATGTCACCCAGGCCAGAGTGCAGTGGTACAATCACCAGGATCACGGCTCACAGCAGCCTCAACTTCCTAAGCTCAGGCGTTCCTTCTATCTCAGCCTCCTGTACTCGGGCATGAACTGACATGCCCGGCTAATTTTTCCCTATTTTTATTTTTGAGACAAGGTCTCACTATATTGTCCAGGCTGTTCTTAAGTGATCCTTCCACCTTGGCCTCCCAAAGTGCTGGGATTATAGATGTCAGTTGCCGTGCTCAGCACCCTGTCCTATTCTCAATATTGAGCCCACTTCTCAGACTTGAAGTTCAAGGTTATGTTTTGCAAGCTTTCATTGTTTAACTGAGGTGGATGGCATGAAAGGAAGTGGGTACCAGGAAGGACTTACCCCAAGAAGTGACATTTGGCCCGGGTTTTGGAGATCAGTAGGAGTTTGCCCAGAACAAAATGGAGAAGGGTGTTAGAGTAAAAGTAATACTGGCGGCTGAGGCACTGCATACAGGCTGGAGTCCTACCATGGCTCAGGTTTCTGCAGTGGTTTTCAGTGTATCTCTGCTGGGGTCAAGGCCTCCTCTGCTTCTTCCCTAAAATCCAGGTCTCAAGGGTCACTGCAGACCAGGAATCACAATCTCTGATACCGGAGGTAGCAGATAGGTAAGGAGAATCAGTAAAGCAGCCTGGGTGACTTCAAACCAGGACACTTGGTTACATATTAAACACAAGACTAGTCTTCATTTTCATAAAAATCTTTTCTGAAATGTATGAACCTCTTGACCTTTCTCTGCTTGCTACCTATAATAAAGACACAGATATAAAAAGATTCGACTTTCATCTTATTATAAGAATATCAACAGCACTAAGGCTGTTACAAGTGACAACAATGGATACTTGGTCTTAACGAGAGGGAGCAAGAGGGAGTGGTGGGGATTGTGGCAAACTGGAGAGCCACCCCCTGTTTAGAGCAGGTAGCTGCTATTTAGTCTATGCAAATGCTGCCCATAAGGATATAGGTGCAACGTGACCAGATGGGGTATATACTTCAGAGAAGTTGTAGATATAGTTATGTAAAAATTTGAAACATTGGCAATACATTTAAAATATAACTAGATATTATCTCTTGGGACAATACAGTGTCTGCCTAAAAAGTCATGACTATAGCCTGGATCTGCCTGAGGCTGCCTCTTTCCATCCTTCTTTGTCTTGGGAGGGCTCGTATTATGGTAACACACCTTCACTTTCAATTAAGAATAAAGAAGCTTAAAACTCCACTTTCCACTTAATCATGAATAGACAATTATTCCCCAATGCTCACAGTGTGGCCTTGATTATTGAGGACAGCGTACTATGTCCTGATGTCCTTATCTTCCTGGCTAGCAGCTAAGGAAGGCAATCCCCATGGAGGCTCTGGAATGTTCCTCCTCCGACCTGAATGAAGCTGTGTAGAGAGGCAGTCCTTGGTCAGACGAGCCTATAGTAAAAGGTGCCTTCCTTACATCAAGCATAGGGAAAAGGAAGCAGGTTGTCACCTGCTGAGTGACCTGGGCCATGGCCTCTGTCCTGACCTCCCACTGGCCATTCCACCCAGACTTCTCTGCGGTGCAGAGGGTGGGTGGGACATTCACACTTCCCGAGGGTTGCTCTGGCCTGGCCTGTCAGCTGTCTGGGCAGGTGAGAAAAAGGCCCTGCTGATCTCCGGGCAAAGCTAGCCACTCTTGGGAAGCGACATTGACTCAGCTGTCAAAACACAACTGAGCAGATGGGCACAGTCTAAAAAACTGGATGACAGACGGAGTTGGCGAGGCTGCAGGGAAATTGTCACCCTTCTACTAGCTGGTGGGATTTCTACCATGAGCAATTTCACAATTCCACCAAAAGTCACACATGTACATGACCTTTGACCTACAATTTCACTTCTGGGAATTTATTCTCTGGATAAGCCTGACCATGTGACAAATGTGACATTCATCCATTGTCACCCATTACAGCACTCTCATAGCAAAATGTTGACAATGGCCCAAATATCCATCATGAAAGACTAAATCAATAAACCGTGGCATAGTCATGCAATGGAATATTACACAGCTGTGTAAAGGGAACCGAGACCCTCTTCACCTATCCACAACTTTGCCTACTACTTGTCCCCTACTGACAGGACTAATCTCTGAGATATGTTGACAAGTGAAAATGCAAGGTGAACAGTCAGGTGAGTAATATGCTTTCATTTGTGTAAGAATGTGTGATAAATAATAAGTGCATACATTTGTCTGTCCATGCATAAAATATGGCTACACAAACACACAAAAAACATTAATATTGCTTGCCTCTGGGAAGAGAAACTGTGGCTGGGATTAGAGGAGAGGGAAAAATGTTTCACCATGTATCTTTTATATCTTTTACATTTGGAACCATATGAATGCCTTTCCTGGTAGGAATAGGATTAAAATTGGAAAAATGGCAAGCTCACAAAGAAAACCAAACAGAAACAAAGTCCAGATCCTATCTGAGGACCAGCGCTCCTGGGCGCAGCCTCCCAAGCCCTCCAGCTGCGGCAGCTGGTTCCATCTTGACATGGTTAGGGGTTTGACTTCCCTCCCATCTGGGGTCAGAGTAGGGTGGCGGGGGCGGGTGGTGTCAGCAGGCACCAGGCACTCACCTGCTCCTTCTCTGAATACGGATTGTTGAGGACGACGGGCACATTTCCCTTCCCCCACAGGTCGTTGAAGACACGGTCGTTCTCCACTCCGAGGGGCAGAGGCTTGTGTGACTTGCCGTCCAAATCTCTGAAAGGCAAAGCGGGGCAGGTGAGGAAGGGGAGACGCCGGCGTGACCACGGGTGGTTGTGATCTGGAAGGCCTGGGTCCATGGGGAGCCTCAGTGGCTCACTCGTCTGACTACGTGACAGTGAGTTCAGGTGCCCAGTCGGCTGCTTCGCAGGGATCGAGAGCGACAGGTGGGGAGGCCACCCTAGGCACCATGCAAAGGCAACCTCGCCAGGCGGCATCTCCTCATCTTTGTGGACATGGGTTTTGCTCATCCCTTCCCCTTCCCCGTTCCATGGATCTGGGAACACCGGAGACCCGTCTCCTCATAGAACTCCATGTGGTCCCCTGAGTAATGCCCTTGACACTTAACAACAGAAAAAGTAGGAATTCAGAGGGATAGGGAAGCCCAGGTCACACCCGTGGCTGGGGAAACAAGTCATTTCGGCCTTGACTGAGGCTTTGGGCTTTGAACAATACCAGCTCAGGGTAAGCAGAATGATTCTCAAAATAAAGGAAACATAGCAATCAAAATAAGAATGCTAATAATAATGATAGCTAGCATTTGTTAAGTACTTACCATGCGCTGGGCACGTTACATATGTTTTAATTTGTTTAACCCTTGCAACAAACCTTTGAAAGGCAGGAAAGGTTATTAATTACTGTTTGACAGATGGGGTGTGACAGAGAGAAGCTAAGTCGCTTAAGGTCACTTAGTGGCAAAGCCTGGTATTCTAACCCATATTTTTTTCTTGGAGATGCAGTCTCACTCTGTTACCCAGGCCGGAGTGCGGTGGCATGATTATGGCTCGTTGCAGCTTTGAACTCCTGTGCTCCAGTGAACCTTCCACCTCAGCCTCCCGAGTGGCGGGGATTATAGGCATGCACTGCCACACCTGGATAATTTATTTGTTTTTGTAGAGATGAAGTCTTGCCACATTGCCCAGGCTAGTTTCAAACCGCTGGCCTCAAGCGATTCTCCCGCCGTGGCCTCCCGAAGTGCTGGGACTATAGGTGTCAGCCACCACACCCACTTTTCGTGTCTGTTTCAAAGTAGGGACTCTCACTATCATTGCCACCATCATCACCGTCACCATCATTTTACCATCACCATCACCACCACATCCTCGCCAAAACCACTATCATTCCCATCACCACCACCATTATCATCACCCTCATCCAACTTTTCCTCCTTAGCAGCAGGGCCACCCTACTGCCACGATCGTCATCGCCGTCACCATCACCAGCATCCTCATCACTCTCATCATCGACTTCATCACATCGCAATCTCCAGGGCCATCACCGCCATCATTAGGAACATCACCAGCATCGCCACTGCCCAACTCTTCCTCCTCATCGCCCTCACCACCACCACCATCGTGATCATCACCATCATCATTCTCATCCGCATCACCGTCAACTTCGTCACATCACAATCTCCCCAATCATCACCATCATCCAATTCTCCTTCCTCACCAGCACAGCCATCTCCTCACCCTCATCACCATCACACTGCCATCATCGCCACATCAAAATCTCCACGATCATCACCACCACCACCCTCATCCTCATCCTCCTCCTCAACTTCATCACACCGCAATCTCCAGGGCCATCGCCGTCATCGCTGCCATCATTAGGAAATCGCCAGCATCGCCACCGCCCAACTCTTCCTCTTCATTGGTGGAGCCATCTTACCACCATCATCACCATATCATCATCATCATCCAATCCTTCCTCACCAGCACAGCCATCTCCTCACCCTCATCACCATCACTATCGCCATCACACCGCCATCATCGCCACATCAAACTCTCCATGATCATCACCACCACCACCCTCATCATCATCCTCCTCTTCATCGTGGCTATCACCACCATCTTTATAATTATGATCATATGAGGAAACTCTGGTTAGGAGTGGTTAGGTGACTAGCTATGGTTAGGAGTGGTTAGGATGGTGGATTCAAACGCAGGCTAGAGCTTGATTTCTTACCCGCTAAGCTTTTATGGCTCTCTGCCCTTGAACTCTAATAGGCTCGGGATGAGGCTATCTCAGCAAGGTTCCACAGGCCACCCTCTGAGATGGAGACAGGACACAGTCTCAAAATCCAGATGGCACCATCAGCCCCATCTCACCCTGTTATTCCACCCTCCAAGTGCTGTCCTCTTGCTTCCCAATGGTCTGCCTCTTTTTGACCCTCCTATTCTATTTGACTCCTGCTATGGTATCTGTCTGTTCCCCAACTTGGGCGATGTGGTCTGCTCTGTGGCCCAGGCATTGAGGACGGCCTTCGTCTAGCCCCGGCTTTCATGTTCCCAGCTTTGGGGACCCTTCTGTCCTCCAGTCTGGTGCAGACAGTCATCTGGGATGAACCAGAAGCCAGGGCTCAAGCTCTGAGTGCACAGCCCTCAGTGGCCTCTCCAGTGGCTCCTGGGGCCAGCCAGACCCACTTCTTGCAGTGGCTCTCTTAGTCCCCACAGCACATGTTAAGGCCACTTTCGCTCTTCTGCTTGGAGTGGCTTGCATTTGTCAGAGGGAACATTCTGTTTTCCTTTCTTTAAAATGTCACCAAAACATACCCAGAGTGGCTCTTGATCACAGACATTTCCCAAGTCGATGGTTACCTACATGGTGATAAACAGAGGCATTGTCGGCTGAGACAGCCACTCGAAATGTCACTCAGCTCCCTTTTGGCTCTAAAACTCCCGATGCTATGATATCACCTCACCCCGGAAACAGGGTTCAGCCCAGAAAGGAGGGGGCTAATGCATTTTGAGTGTCCGTAATAGACCAAGTACTTGCGCAGAAGTTGTTTCACTTAATTCCAGCAGACCTTAAAAGCCCTATTTCACAGACAGAAAATCTGAACCCAGAGAGGTTACGTAAGTTTCCCCACGTCCTGCAGCAAGCTCATAGTAGAGCTGGGGTTTGAAACTAGGTCTGACTGACTGTCTGCCCAGATCCTTCCTTTTAAAAACAGAGATAGAAAGAGCCGTTAGGATGCTCATTCTGGCCAGAGGCGGATGCTCATTCTGGCCAGAGGCGACAGAGCAAGTAACCCAACAACTCTTGCCGAACCAAGCTAGTTTACAAAAATGACAGGGGACAATTACCCAGGCAACTCTGACACAGACCACATGGCTCCTTGTGAGTTCCTTTCATTGTCATTCTTTTTTTTTTTAAGCCATTAACACCTTCATTTAAATAATGCAGTTGAAGTGTTTTGCCAACACAAACTTATTTTGGAGTCCTGTGTGGTGAGCAGGGGAAGGATATTTTAAATATTGGGGCCACGGGGATCACCCAAGTTGAGCCATTTTAATTCCTGTCACCCAGGAGCAAAATTAAAAGTAGATGTAGATGACCAACCCCCAGTCTGCCAGTGATAACTGGGTCTGAGAGAAACATCTGGCTCATTGCCATGAATCTGCTCCCCCTGGATCTATGTGCTTGGTGGGTTTGCATGAGGAGGGTGACATGTGGACGGGGTGGAACTGGATTCAAAGGCTGGCCTTGCTAGTCATAAGCTATGCAACTCTGGATACTTAGCCTGTCTCAGTCTCAGTTTACTCACCTGTAAAATGGGTTAATCACATCTAAGATGGTTAAATGAGGGAAAGCTTATAGCAGTGTGGCAGCTGCTATCACTTCCTGCTAATTTGCTTATGGATGATTAGATGGAAACAGAGAAAGGAACAGTGACAATTCCTCCAAGACATCACTATGTGGCAGCACTCCCTGTGATGACAGAAATGTTTCATATCTGTTGGGTTGTATAGTCACTAGCCACATGCAGCCACGGAGCACTTGAAATGGAATCATTGTCCCTGAGGAATCACATTTTTAATTTTTTGACTTTAATTCACCTGAACATAGAAAGAGCCACATGTGGCTCAGGGTTCTGGGATTGGGCAGTGTCACTGGGCTGGGAAACGGAGGCAGACAGGACTCCAAGCAGGAGGCATCTTCCCTGGGTTAGGATACCTGCACTCAGAACCTTCCGAGCTGCCATGCTTTATTCATGGAGCCCAGGAATTTGATAATGCTCTGCTTCCTTTCCAGACTCCTGCCTCCTGTCATTCTTGGCCCTAATCTCTCTCTCTTCCCTCTTCCCGAGGGGCACACTGTGTCTACTCCTACCTTTATACCTGCCCTCTCTGGATGCACTTTCATTTTCTCTCTACCAAGAGCCAACTCCTATTCAGCCTTCAAAGCCCACTTCATGCCCCACTTCATGCATCCTCAGAACTAAATGAGGTCATGTTCATAAAATGCCTAGCACATAGTTGGCACTAACTAAACATAAACGATGCTTATCTGCATTTACAACTAAGGACATCGAGCGATTCAGTAACTTGTCAAGGGTCACATGGCAAGTGACCAGTGTAGAAGCTTGAAAACAAGATGTCACTTCACTGTTCTAGTTGGGAATCCCTGTGAATGGGGATTATTGTGGCGGCGGGGGTGGGGGGGTGGGGGAGCATTTGGACCTCACACCTGTGAAGAGAAAGCTTCAATTTATTTTTTTGAGTCCAGGTCTCACCACGTGGCCCAGGTTGTGGTGCAGTGGCACCATCACAGCTCACTGCAGCCTTGATCCCCGGGGCTCAGGGAATCCTCCTGCCTCAGCCTCCTGAGTGACTGGGACTACAGGTGAACAACACCATGCCCAGCTGATGTCTTTGATATTTTATAGAGACAAAGTCTCACTATGTTGCCCAGGCTAGTCTTGAACTCCTGGGCTCAGGCAATCCTCTTGCCTCGGCCTCTCAAAGGGCTGGGATTACAGGTGTGAGCCATTGTGCCTGGCCAGAAACCCAGATTCAGATATTGGATGTTCCTTCCAAATGGGGTGGATGTGCTGAATGTATTCACGAGTGAAATGCAATTTTGTTAATTTTGTTTCATCATTTCTTCATTTAAAAGCTATCTTGGGCGCCCACAGAAGGAAGGAGACTGGGCCTCTTTTGACTTTCAAGACTCCGGGATGGTGACTTCCCTTTGCCAGTGCTCATGAGTCC